TTGGTCCTGTTGACATCTCTAGAAATGGTTTCTTTAATTGTCTAGTGAATGTATATATATATTGATCGATTATTTAAAATATTATTGAATATTCAATAATGTTTTTTAATTTTTTTAATTTTTTTTAAACCGTAAATATAACCTACTCCTAAACTACACTATAAATCCACCTATGTCCACGACGGGACTTGAACTCTCAACCTCAAGGAGGGAAGGCAACACCAGATACCGTTGGGCTAGAAGCCAGAGTTTAATTTTAAATATTTTGTATTTTTTACTAATTAATTAATTTTATTAATTATTTAATGGTATTTCATTTAAAAAATATATTATTTATAATGATTACATAATATTAAAATTTTTATTTTTATAGGTATAATATAATAATTTTATATTTTATATCAAATAAATACTTTATATAGTTATATCTATACTTTTTGTTTAATTTTTATAAAAAATTAATGATTTTAAAAGACGATCAAAAAATATAAAAGTTTTATTAAACATTTTACATTACAAAAAAGTAGTTGTATTTATAATAAAAAAAAATATTGAAACATATCTAATTACAAGATAAATTTAAAGTTATAGGAATATTTATTAAAAGACACAGGTCGAACATTTTAATAGACAGTTGTTATGTGGATTTCATAACCTAATTGTCATAGATCTAGAACCGGACAAAATATGCTATTAAACCTAACATAGGGTCAAGTCCATGCTGCCCACTCAGACACGCCTACTGATCTGTTTACTAGGTTCCTATATAGCCTAAGTGAGCCCTACACATATAAATAATTGAGAATCTCCAGACATCTACTCGTATCTTTAATCTCAATTCTCAGGTCACTCCACTTGCCACCCTTTCTTCCCAATCCCTATCCATACATTCTTTTCCTAATTTTCCCACACCCCATACTTCAATTATTATCGCCACTGCATACCAATTATCTTTTTTGTTAGGCAAAACCAAAACGACAGATTTTCTATTTCTTAAACCTTTATTTCCTTCTCAACTTCTTTTGAACATCTACTATATATAACAAGAAAAACCAACTTTGTAGACCACAAGGATAGAACAATTCAACTAGCTTAGCTTTGAAAATCCACAAGAGGTTTAATTTAGCACATATAGACGTTGTGTTTACTCATCTACTATATACGTGAACTTAATTGGAATAGATATTTAGTGACAAAAAAAGGCCCCTTTGAAATTGAATTGAAATATTCATAGAATGGCCATTACACCAATTATTTTGAATGGATCCGAATGTAAGAATGCGCTTGTGAAAAAGATAAGAGTTGCAAAAATGAGGATTCTACGATATACATGCTGGCAAAACAATGTTGACAAGAAGCGAGTACATTAATAAAAAATAAACTTGTAGTGACATCAATCATTATAAAATGAGGAAAAGGATATACAAGTTGTTTGAGCTTGTCCAAAAAAGACAACTGACAACGTCAGTTAGGAGGGTGGAGATTGTTACTGTTGATAAACAGGATGAGGACTTAGTATTAGGGAATTGTGAGTGGTGTATTTTAGTTGAATGAACCTATTAATATATTATTTACCTATTTTTTTTTTACTTTGCCATTTCGAGTCTACATCTTCCATGCCCATTCCCTTAATTCAATCGGGAGTTGAATATAGTTTAAAAAAGAAACTCGGGAGTTGGATATGAGTGTTATTTTTTAACAGCCAAATATTATAATACAGAACTAGTGGATGAATAACGGGATTAACAATATCCTCAAAAAAGTACGCTGCAAGAAATACATGGAATGAACAATATCCTCAAACAACAAGTATTATTGTTGTAGTATGTGAAGCATATATTATAGTTACAAAATTAATCTCTTGTATAATATCCACATATAACCAAAAACTCTAGTAGAGTCTCTTTGGTCAGATGAAATCTACTATAATAAATGAAAATAATATTCACATGTCAATATATAGTTATTTTCAACTTTTAAAATAAAAAAGTCACATAATACTTATACTTATATATATAAAATATCAAATATAATAAATATTATACTAAATTGCAATTAATATTTTTTTTTCATTCCTTATTTCAAAATTTTATTTTAAAAATTACTTATTGTTACACTTTGATATTTTATTTTTTTAATCAATCCGTATAATACATGAGTTTACACCTAGTTAATATAATAAAAATAATATTGAAATGGCAGTATAATTTAATAAACAAAATAATGAAATGAATCATTATATTCAATGATCATGTTTAGTTCATCCGAAAAAAAAGTCATAGGAACTTCTTATATATCTGTATGTAAATAAAATGTATAATTTATGTATAATTAATGACTTTATTTACAAAAATAAAGGATATTAAAAGCTGAATAAATCTCACATAAGTTATAATAAAAAAATTTAGTTATTTTAAAAGTAAAATTGTAATTAATATAAAATAGCGAAATATTTTTAAGAAATGTTCCATTAGATATTACATAAATACAAAACATATAATACTCCAAGATTTCATTCTATTCCATGATTAGGCTAAAAGGTGAAATTAATACAATGCCAGAAATCACATCCCTTAAAAAAAAATGCTTCATTGCATTCATTCGGTCAAAATCAATGAAATAAACTACAAGATTTTAGTACTTCTTTAGAGCAATTCTCTTTGTTATGAGAAAAGCTCTCACAATAGAAACTAAGTTTTCTCAACGTTTAAAACTAAAAAGCTTTTGAAAAAACTCATATTATACATACTCTTTAAGAAACACAGTCTAAACGTACATGCAAGATAATGACTATACCAAAACAATCTAGTCACATGACTTATATTCCTGAATGCACAAAACGTGGTAAAAGGATCCTAAAAGTGAAAGAAGATTAATTACCAAAAAAATCAAACGAATAATTAAAGATCAGCAAAAGTTAAATTGTACTTGCAAACATAAAAAATAATAGTTGCCAACCAACCATAATTCATATGCAATATTTTATGAACTAAATCTGAATGATTTTATATATAATATTGGCTTTGAGCATAAAAGGCTGCTAAATTAGGTTGTGGACAGCATGATCTTCTCCATTTTCGCTATTTGAGATGTAGACAAACAGTAGAACGTTCTGACTAACTTGACTTCTATGTTCATTTTAAACAATAAAATAAGCCTATAACGCTCAAACCTAATGTACTTGATCTAATAAAATATTGCTATACGGATATATAATATTAATAAAATCATGGGAGGAACAGAAAAAAGATTTAGCAGGTATTCCATTAAACCTTAAAATAAGTTCTTTTGGAAAGTTGCTTCACAGATTTAGATATACTATCACGTGAAACAAGTATACATTAGAAATGTGCGTACTTAAAGAAGATTTATGATCAGTACTTCTCAGATTGGCTTAGATAAATCACCTTAAATAAGCATCTACTTTTGATCTTTTCTCCTTTTTTTTCTTTTATATGTGACTGTAAAACTAACTAAAACTTTACATTTCCCGATTTACCCTCCCATGCACACGATATGTATACTGTATACAATACGATATCTATAAAAATACCAAATAAAATACTTTATGGGAACTCGAAGCTCATAAAAGTAACCACACACCACAGTTAACAGTTTATATTCACAAGTCCTCTATGAGTTCTATTGGATCAATTAAGGAAGTTGTTCTAAGAGCATGTCATGTGTTTTTATAAAGCTTTTTTTGTTATTTTAATTAGTATTATTAATTATTGGAATATAATTTTTATTTACTTGTATCACAATAGAGCCTAACTGTTTCATTATTCATCAAAAAAAAATTCAAATACTTAAATGTGACAAAGGTAAAAGTTTTTTCAAAAATTCGGATTAGAGTGATATTTTGAGGAAAAAAATTGTGAAATAAGGTTAAGAGATGACCTCTTGTAAACGTACTACATAAAAAACAAAAGAAGAAATGTTCTTAACTATATATTCTTATTATTAATCATTAATATAACTAAAGTAAACCTGGGAATTTTTTTTTAACCAGAGGATATATATATATATATATATATATATATATATATATATATATATATATATATATATATATATATATATATTGTATAACTTATTACTATATGTATGTAAGAAGAATTTACAAACCAATGTGTTCTGCAGAATTAACTCTTAGCTGACCAATTCATCAGACTACAGAAATCCATATAATATTTTTAGTTATGAAAATTACTGGTTTTATAACCAAAAAAAGATATAGCAGAAACAATAATTCCTTGCATTATTAACCACAAGTTATTACTACTACTGTTCAATGGTCCACGATTCCTGACTTGTCTTGACTTCCTTTGTTTCTTTCTTATAAATGAATGACTATGTTTTCTATACTCACGTACATGTAGAAGCAACATATCACCTACTAAACCACAAACAAATACTTAAAAGCTTCTTCGTTTACAGTACTGACATAAAACTAGGCTAAATGAGTCATAAAATTTATAACATCTCTTGTTTCCATCGGTTTCACCTATCTAGGTTATCTCTTCAAGTACATGTCAAGTGTGAATATATTAATAAATATATTATATGATCATGTATTCATGTTGATTATATATCTATATACATCAATCTAAACACTATTTCGTTGTAATTTCCCATTATATATCTCATGGTATTCGTGGAAAAGTCCATTTAAAAGAAAAATAAAAACGTTGATATGTTATATCGAGCTAGAAGACATATATAGAACTATTCTGTCTGAAATTTACTCGATTTCATCTGATTATACCATGCCGTAAATTTCTAGTCATAAAAAAAGTTTCTCTTCCATGGGCGTGTGTGAGTCAATCTCATAAAAAAAACGAAACTACAAATACTGTATAGAGGAGTAAGAGTAAGACCAGAAAAGTGTATTCTGCATTATGCTTATTTGAGCTAAGATATAGTACGTACGTACGTGTGCTATCATGCGCCAAACACAAGATCTTATGAACAACAAGAAAGACTAAATCGCCATAGAATTAAGAGGAAGACGGAATATACGCACCTTTGCAGAGATTGCGAAGTTGCGTTTTGATACTGCGGATGAAAACTGTAGCTTCATCAAAAGGCCTTGCGAGATCGGATTTATACTTCACCAGTAGATGGCAGTAGGTTTCCTACGACATAATCAATCATTTACAGATAATTAGGTCGAAGAATTTCTGTGTGTTCGTGATGTGTAATCGAGTGATGAAAATTCAAAGTAATGGAGAAACGAACCATGAATTCGTCGAGCTCAGGATCGACTCCTAAGCAAGTGGAGGCGGTTGCGTTTCGTTTACGAGCGCCGTTTTCGAGACGGACATCATCCAACAAACACGCGATTTCCGGTGGCGCCCCTACCTGTGTAACAGAAAAAGGCAACAATTAATAAGAATTTATTCATATATAGACGAAAATTTCGGTTGCCATTGAAGAATATTTATAAATGTTAGATGAATCGAGGATTTAGCTAGGCTCGCTTAAATCACTCATATTACGCGTACGTTCATCTTCCACAAAAAAAAAAAAGCTTAGTGATGCAAACTTAGTAGTTCCCTATTGGAATAATAATTTCGCAACCAAAAAGGAACAAAATGTTGAAGAAAACAGGAAAAAGCGCTTCAGAAATCGCGATATTTTGCTTTTAAAACCTTGTGGCAATCGATATAAGCATCGAGCAACTTAGAGTAGGAAGGATGAGACGCGATTTTGTGCTTGATTGTATCGCGAGAAGTATCATCATCATCGTTATCTCCGTTATTTTTTGCTTGAAGATCATGTTGTCGATTGGTTCGACGTTTTGGAAGAATAATCTGATGAGGAGTAGTCTCAATCGAAACCGCATCCGTTATGACTGAGGCAGCAGCAGATAACAACTCATCGGATCCGTAAAACGGCCAGCTGTGATAGACGGGTGGATGAAATCCGTGGTGCTCCGACGGAAGAATCAGGTTGTTTTCCGGTGGAATTGAGTAATCGGATGTCGAGTGGAAGCCATACATTTGATCCATGACGATCACAAGTACCGATATATGATTGATTCTCTCAGAAACAACAGAATGCCATGAGGAAATTCCTTTTTTCGGATGAGAAATTTGAGAGGATGGATGATAACTTAGTAGTGCGTTTATACATATATGTAAGTGAACATGATTTTAGGTTTGTGCTTTAGCTTTAGATTAGTTTAATTATTAGGCGACGCTTTTGGATTTGGTAGGGATTGAAGTTTGAAGATAAAATGAGAGAGAAACGGTTTCTAGAGAGAGAAAGGAGGATGAAGTTGGAGACTTGGAGGTTGTGGAATGAACCGAAGAGGTAAAAACTGCTTTTTAGCGCATTTGTGTTTGAGCATCAAGAACCATAGCCAGATTTGAAAGGAGGCGATTTTTTCATTTATAAAATAAAATATTCTCTTGCTTCTTATTCATATAAAATCTAGTATTAAAATTCTTTTTTACTTCTCTCTTTTACAATATGAATAAAAACCAAAAAATTAAAAGATATTAAATTTCTCCGTCACTTACGTTTTTCTTTCATTTTAAATAACATGTTTTGATTTTAATATATATATATATATATATATATATATATATATATATATATATATATATATATAATTTTAGTTATGCTTTTTATTCATTTATTTAAAAAGTATGTAAAATACATATAAATATGTAAAAATACATATAAATACGTAATACATAAAAAAACACATAAAAAGTATGTAAAATACTTAAAAATACATAAAAATATGTTTAAACATTTAAAATAAATAAACATCTTTATAAAAAACTTAAAAATACATAAATATTAAGAGTAACATAAATACGTAATACATAAAAAATAACACGTAAAAATACATAAAAATATGTAAACTGGTTTAAAAAATACATATAAATACGTAAAAAAATGCTTATGCATTTAAAATACATAAAAATATGTAAACATATACATATAAAAACTTTATAAAAATACATAAATACGTAAAAATAGATATAAATACGTAAAAAAATAACTTTATACATTAAATACAAATTTTGACGAAATCTGCAGAAAAGTCTCATTATTTTGAAAAAATAACAATTTGGTCACATGACCTCCTAAACAGGTCAAAAATGGCTAAAGTGTAACATCCATAAAATCATGATAAATTTAAACTTTTTAAAACAAACCAATTTCACAAATTGTTTACAATCATAGTTTTCAAAACATGTTACACATCAGAGTCTCCTAAAATCATAAGTCAAAAACATGAGGATGTGTACGGTCACGTCTTCGCCTTCCCGCGATCATCTGAAGTACCTGAAACATAACTCAAAACTGTAAGTCAACGCTTAGTGAGTTCCCCCAAAAGTACCAACACACAAACAAATAACATATACGATAAAAGCATGTCGGGTCCAATCAACCATCGGATTGGAATACCTCAGGCTCGTCAACCATCCGGTTGGAATGCCAATATACTATGGGAACAGTCAACCATCAGGTTGGAATACCCCAGTCCCCTCAACCATCGGGTTGGAATGTTAATATACAATGGGTCCTGTCATCCTCGGGATGGAATACCCTTGGGCCCACTCAACCATCGGGTTGGAATGCCCCTAGTCTGTTGGCCGACGCACAAAGCAGTAAAGCCTCAACCACTAACCAAACATGTGTACATATAACAGATAATCAGATAACAGTCTACAGACAACGAGAAAAATCTACAAATCACTAAGCATATCAGCATCCTATACACCAGGATACTAATCTAACAGATCACTACAGTACAATAGCATGCATAACAGGATATCGAATTCAAAGGCCCGGCCTTGGTGCCGTCGACCTGCAAGTACAGTGAGGAAAAATCACATCTCACACTGAACAGAAGCTGATGAGGTCTCGACTCCGAATCTCAACTCTCTAACTGACACCTATTCCTACCAAATGACCAATTTCCATCAAAATCCCAAAATACCCTCAAGGTCAAACTTGGTCAAACTTAACTGGTCAAACCAACTAGGTCAACTGAGTCAACTCGACCGACTCAACTCAAGGTGCGTTCGCGGGGCGTACTCCTAAGGTACGCTGGGCGTACACGAAGCCTCACAGGTTGACCACCATCTGAGTGGTTGACCTTATATGCATGGTGTACTCCGAATATGCGGGGCATACCCTCGCAAGTCCAAAAATCCCATTAAGAGCTTAATGGGTTAAGCTCATACGTCTAAACTTCAGATCCATGGCTAAAATACTCTTAGGAGTCATAAAGTCTCCAACTTTATGACCTATCATGTCCAGTAAGTGCTTAACATAAGGTCTTATTCCATTAAGACATTCTACAAGATGTATGAAGCAAAACTAACCATTTGGAACCTTTTTTTATGACTTAAGACCCCTCCTAGGGTCTGAAAGGACAAATCAAAGATCAAGAACATGCCATATTCAAGATCTACCATTTTGGGACCAAAAAGCTCCATAAAGATAAACAAAACTAGATCTATGAGTTGTAGGGATAAAGTTGCAAGCTTTATACCTTAGAATGGTTGCAAATGAAGTAGAAATCCCAGATCCAAGTGTTCCACTCCTTCAAGATGAGCTTGGCTTCCTTCAATCTTCTTCTAAGGCACCAAAAGCACACTTCTAAGCTTGAAAAGGCTCCTCAAAGTGGTTCTAGGGTTACAAACACGTATGAGAGGGATGGAGGCAGTTAAGGTGGAAGAAATGAGGACATAAGAATGCTTAAATACTAGACACACCCTAAAAATTAGGGTTTTCCATAAATGGCAAGTACACCTATCGTACTAGGGCGTGCCCTAGTACACTCAGCGTACACCACGTACGTATGGCGTACTCTGAAGGCCATAATTACAACAATGAAATTAGGGCTCCTTTGCACACTTTCTTGAACTTAGGGACCAAAATGCAACATAATAAAATTATAGGGTTGAAGTAACGCCCGCAGATTCGGGCTAGTCAATTTAAAGACAATAAGCGTCAAAAATGACTTTTCTATGTATGATTATTTAGAATAAATAATCCTAACTAAGATATAGTATACGTCACAAGGGTTCCGTACATATAAAGTGAAACATCCCAAAAATACAGTCCAAAAATTTCATTTTAAACCATTAAATATACCATAATTATTGTTTGATAAATAAAATCGTAAGTCGTGATAATCTCAAAAACGTCATATCAAAACCAGTATCAATGTTTCCAAATCACATATAAAAATATCAGAGTAAAAATCCCAGTCTAACAGCTGTGGTTTGTGTCATGCGATCATCCCGAGCCCTGCCCTTTGCTAGTGGAAGTACCTGAAACCAAAACTAAAAACCGTAAGTACAAAGCTTAGTGAGCTCCCCAAACTACCACATACCATACACATAACATATAACATAACTTTGGGACTCCGCCAAGCTGCATCGGGACGAACCCAACATCGGCTTACCCGACATTGGGCTAACCCCGACATCAGACCGCGTCTGGCATCGGACCTCATCCGACATCGGGCTTGCCCTGACATACATACAACATATCATATAACATAAACACATAACATAAGCATATAAACATTCATCGGGCTTGCCCCGACATCAGACCGAAGCCCGGAACACATAACACATAACATATAAGCTAACATACATCAGGCTTGCCCCGGCACCGGACCGAAGCCCAGAACACATAACACATAACATATAAGCTAACATACATCGGGCTTGCCCCGACATCAGATCGAAGCCTGGAACATATAACACATAACATGTAAGAATCACGAAGACATCAAGCATACATAAACGCTTCTCGGGACCGCCTCGGCACCGGACCGTAGCCCGGAACTACTAACATCTAAACGGGCCGACATTGTGGCCTTAGACCTGTTCCTACTAGAGAAAACTCACATCGCAAAGCTGACTGCTAAAAAAATCTCGTGTGAGGAATCTCTAATGGCTGCTCCAACGACTCCCCGACTATCATCAACACAATACACTTAATCAAAATCTGATAACCTTTCATAGGGTAAAATGACCATTTTACCCCTGGTCAAAGTCAACATTCTGATTAACTCAACTCGCCGAGTTGGTCTATCAACTCACCTAGTTCTGCTACTCAAGAACCCTAAAATCACGATCCAGCTCGCCGCCGAGTCATTTCCCCGACTCGCCAAGTTCTCTGTCCACTCATATTCGCAATTAAGCGAGTCAACTCGTCGAATCATCCTCAGACTCGTCGAGTTCTGCTTACTCAGAATCGGGACAACCCGTCTCAACACGTCGAGTCCTTCCTTGGACTCGTCGAGTTCTTCAACCTCCAAGTCCAAAACTATATCCAGCTCGCTGAGTCATCTCCTAGACTCAACGAGTTCACTCATTAACAGAAAATTGGGGAAATCGCGACCCGACTCGCCGAGTTGCATGAACAACTCGTCGAGTCCCCCAAGATCTTAATCCATTCAGTCGATTTCAGTTGGGTTCATTGCCTCCAAAACATAGATCTGGACCCCTAAGGTCCTTATGTCACGTAAAGTTTCCAACTTTACGTGTATGCATGGGGTTCTTAGCTCAAAAGGTCCAAAAAGGTGGCTCATCTGGTGTATGGGACTCCCATGGCCATAAAGTTAGCACCTTTATGCCATGAAGTCCCTCAAGGACCTAGATCTGTAGTAGATACACCAACTCATGCTTGCACTCATGAATGGTTCCAAAAAGGTACTTTAAAATGCCCTAACTACCCCATAAGAAGATTTAGAAAACAAATGGCCAATGTATAGACTTGATTACCAGAAAGTAAAGGAAATGTGATGTTGCTTCTGGATCTACAACTTCCTCTTGGAGTCCTCTAGCTTCTTCTTCTTCTCACAACCTTCTAATCACACCAAAATCACTCAAAAATGGTTCATACACTCATACAAAGCTCAAGCTCACTGATTAGGGTTTTCTGGACAGTGGGAGACGATGAGGGAGGCCACAAGGGGTGTTATGTTCTTTAAATAGGGGGCCAAACCCTTAAAATTAGG